GGGAGAAGAGGCTGGGGACAGCAGCCCCCCGGCAGTCGGTTAACTGCGGCGCCCCAGATGACAGCTGCAGGTCACCCAGGATGGCAAGACGCTGGGAGGACCGGCCCGCAGCAGCAGGGGAGGCCAGATGTCGAAAACTCACCCCTCGCCCTTGAGAAGCTGCCAAGAAACCGCTCCCCCGGAACAGGAGGTGGGTGGATGAAACGCTCGGGCTGCCCTGCACCCATCTGGAGCGCCTTCCCGGGGACAGGAAAACCTGGCTTTGGGCTTAACCTTGCCACAACTTAGCTTCGTGGCACTCCCCAAGTGCCAGCTGCCTCTCCTGTGAAGAGAGCAGGCTGGATTCCACTCGGTCACTGAACAGTGACCGAATGCCAGCCATCAGCAGCCCTCTGCCATCAAGGGGCTTACCTCCCAAGGAAGAATTTTCTTAGGTCATCTGCACCGTCATCATTTTTTTTTTTTTATTCTACAAAAGTAATCCTATGATGACAGTACCAGCAGACATCCTCTGGGTGCCACTTTGCACCAAACTCCCAGCAAAGGCTTCTGCATTCCCCTTAAAACAGTTCCACGTGGGGCAACCCACGATCCCAGGTTTAAAGCAGATGAAACTGTGGCCTACAGGGCCAGGGTCACCCAGCTGTGACTGAAGGTAACTACACAGGCTAAACAAATGAGATTTCCCTTAATAAACAGATAAGGTTCTGGCCTCGGAAACTGAAGGAGCAAACTGGCCATGGCGGGGGGTGGTTTAGTCACCAAGTCATGTCCAACTCTTGGGACCCCATGGCCTTTAGCGCACCAGGCTCCTCTGTCCATGGGGTTTCCCAGGCAAGAACACTGGAGTGGGCTGCCATTTCCTCCTCCAGGGGAATCTTCCCAACCCAGGAATCGGACCTTTGCAAATGGACTCCTTACCACCGAGCCACCAGGGGACTGGGGGATGCCTATATTATACACAAGGATAATTAGGGCAGATGGTAAATTATGCCCAGACTTACTCTTGCCCCAAGATGCTGGGGTCTCCTGGTTTCTCCACACAAGGAAAAGAAACCACAAGCTCAAGCAAAACTCTTCCAGGGAGCCAACACTTCACCCAAAGAGACCAACAAAAGGGTATGATGACATGACTGATCCCCATCATTCCCGTTTCTCCAACGGCTTCAAATTAAGTCATCTTTTTAGAGGAGCATGACCACTTTACTCTTTAAAGACAGAGGGGGGAAACTCTTATATGTTTTACCAAATGAAATAATCATCCAGAGAAACAGAAAGACACAGAACAGACCTATCTTCTTCTGATCAAAATGCACTTCACTAATTAATGGCTACCGGTCTCCAGAGAGTTTGCCCTTGACTAGTTAATAATGCCCATTATACTTCACTTGAGATGTGAACATTCATATCGCAAAGAGGGAGAGATGAACTGCAGAATTCAAAACCCTTCCTGGGGTCGCTCATTAAAATTCTGGTCAAAACAGATTTTTATTTATATGATACATTAAAGAATATTATGACAGTCCTAATATGAAATCTGTTCTTCACTGCTATGAATTTTCCTTCGTATTCAGTTACAGTTTCTTTCCAGCAGTCTTGTTTTAACACCTCCATGGAATATTTCTCCGGTGAGTGTTAGCAAGGAGGGACAGCCAGAGAGCAGAGAAATGAATTTCAACTGAACGACATGCTGACGCATCATTTACAAGTGCACCACCCAGTCCCTGAGGAGGGGCAGGGCTCACCTGGCCACTGGGACACACACACACACACACACCCCAATTCTACACACACACACACACACACACACACCAATTCTCCAGGCCACTGGCCACACTGGGACACACACACACACACACACACCAATTCTCCAGGCCACTGGCCACGCTGGGACACGGACATACCCCCCCCACACACACACACACACCAATTCTCTAGGCCACTGGCCACACTGGGACACGGACACACACACACACACACACCACACACACACACCAATTCTCCAGGAGGTAAAAAATAAATAAGGCTCAAGTTAACGTTCTACTCTCCTGTCAGCCAGGTTTTAGCCTCCAACACCACCTTCAGTCTGAAACTCCCCTGGGGGGACTCAAGTTCTGTCAGAAAATAACTGTTGACAAGGAAGGCACTCTCTGCCCGCCCTGCCCCAGCGGCCAATGAGCACACCGCACCCCCAACTCTAGAACCTCTGAAAGACGCTGAGGGCGCGGGCGGAGGGCCCACTGGGCAGAGTCCACAGTGCATGCCATCCCGGGGCCAGGGAGTCACCGCCGGGGAAGCGCCACGGCCTGGGGTACTGACTGCGGTCTGACCCCCGCAGCCTGGGGACCACTCAGAGCCACCCCCTCCTCCACACCCCTCGGCGCCCCCGAGGACAGATGCTGCAAGAGGGCACAGCTCTGGGCCAGGCCACACCACTGCGCAACCCAACAATGGTTTCCAAAAAGAGGAAACAATACTAGCACCCAGCTCACAGGGCACAGGTGAAGGCTGAGGGGCTCAATATGCATCACGTCCCTTCCGCAGCGCCGGGCACAGAAACTCAGTTAACGCTGTCGTCATTACCAGACCTCTCACAGGATGAGCGGCACAAAAATAACGTGAAAAACACGAGGTACCTAAACCATAGTGGAAAAGAATCTGAAAAAGGATGCATGTACACACTTAGGTACGCACACACACATACATATAAGTGAATCACTGCTATACACCAGTGAACACAACATTGTAAATCAACCACACTTCAATAAAAGAAATCAAAAACACAAAAAGAGCAAGGACCATGTATGGTAATACCATACCCTAGGTCTTTTTTCAGGCACTTTCCCTTTCTTAATTTATTTCTCACGAAAGCTCAGTGAGATAGAGAAGCTGAGGTTCGAGGAAGTTAAATGATTTGCCCAAATTTATACAGTTAACAAGTAGTCCGGTCGGGATCCAAACACAGGCCGCTGAACTCGAAAACAACAGTGGTGATTAAACCAACAAGGATGATGCTGGCAGTGATGAAAATGATGAGTTGCGAGGCCCTCACCCTGTGCAGGCTCTTTTATTCTTCACAACCCCTTTCTGAGGGAGTTACTGTCATCAGCCCCATTTTAGAGATAAGCAAACTGAGAATGTGTGATTTCTCAGCGTTGTAGGACCTGGGATTCAGATGGAGATAACGGATAGAAAAATTTTTTGTGAAGAATGTGTACCATAAAAAGTAAGGCGTTATTATGAAATCCCTAGAATTCCATGGAAAGATGTCTTCCCCAAGTGGTTTAAAGTTAGCTTACATCCCAAAGTCTGATAATTCACCAAAACCATCCCAGACTTTGGCGAGGGCGGGGGACACTTTGACAAGCTTGAGAAATATTCTGTCTTGTTTTTAAGTTGAAAGCATCACTGAAATACTCACCAGAATATATTCAAATAAAATACTGTCCTCCTGGTTTTAAAAAAATGGGAGTGTTAAGGAGGAGCTGCAAAGGAGAAGAGAAACCCATGGTTTGACCAAGTCAGGGATTTTTCCAGTTGCCTGCTAGAGTAACCTGATCTGAGTTCTGGGGGATCAAATAACTAACCTGGAAATTTGAAGATTCACATTTATGGAAGAAACAGCAATTCTTCCAAATCAGGAAACCCTGCTAATCCAGGAAGCCTTCTGAAACATCAAGGATCACACAGTTTGGAAAGCAATAAACACTGAAGACAGTCCCAAAAGTTTGTGCTCAGTATAGAAATAATCTAACTCCTTTGATTCATTAATTCCTATTATTTGCTTAAGCATCAGGGGGAAAAAAGTGCCTCAATAAAATATTTCACTACTTTTGTTTAGAGATTTGTGTTTCCTTCTAAAGAGAAAAAGGAAGGGAAGAAAAAAAAAGAATCATGTGGAAGAAAGAGAGGGAGAGGAGAGAAGGAAGGAAGGAATCGCATGGCAGGCTCCAACCTGAAATTCTCAAAATACCATCCCCAAGAGCCAACTATTTCTTCATTAATGTGCAAAACCATTCCTCCCCTTGCACAACTAAAAGGTCCCACTTCTGGGAGACCATGCTTAAAGAAACAAACTGAACTGGCTAAAACCACAGTATTATACCTTTTATGACCTACGCAGACACTTCACCTTTTCCCCTTCCCCTTAAAAAAGTGCCAAGGCCACAAGACGTAGAAAAAGTATTTCTTCCGGGATTACCCAGGGAAGAGAAAAGTATAATTTAGAAAGTGCAAATTTAGCGTGGAAGCCATAAGCTCTTTAAATCTCACCTTGGGCTTTATGCAGCTGTGTTCTCATGACCACACCTGGCAAGCTCAGGGAAAATTACGTTAACGACACACTTGGGAAACAGTGAAGGCCTATCTCAAGCCTTTCAGCAAGCCCTGCAGGACCACTCCTGCCAAGAGGACAACGTCCCCAGCTCTTCTCCGCCCAGGTACCAGCACTTGCACAAAACAGCAGCACAATACTGGCTTCAGGTGTGCCCAGACTGCCCCAGGCTGCCTGAAACCAACACATCCACTGCTTCCTCGGTCGGACTGAGGGCATCTGGGGTCTACAAAGACAGGACAAGCTGTTTACTTAAATTCTACTCCTCTCCTTAAACTCCAAGTCGTCAGACCTCCAAAGAGTACCCTCCGAAAGAGTCACCAGGAAATGGCCAACTTTTCCTGATGGGATCTCAGCAATACTTAAAAAATAAACAGAAGGCTTGCATAAATATTGCAACAGACAGTGCTATGTCCTCCCACGAAAGCACAGGCTGGTCCCTGCCCCCAGATGGATGCTCAGACCCACCTGGGAATGGCTTACTAGCAGACACACGGTTATCTCCCACAGCGCCTGGCCTGGCCCCCCTCACTGCCACACGCTGATACCCTGAAGAAACGGGGTGCACCAGGCTTCAACACATCACTGCCACTGCTCTGTCTGAAATCTGAAATCCGTGGCAACCACCTCTGAGTGCTAAAATCCTATTACTGCTTCTCCTACTTACCTTGGGTTGCGCTCGACGAGGAAATGCAACTTTGGGGTCAATCTGGGGGAAAAAATGGAAAAACAGGAGTCAGCTGCAGGACTCTGAGGGGAGAAAAACAATTACGATTAATCACCTAAGTATTAATCACTCATTTCTCAGGCTTTGAACCCAGCTTTCAGTCACTTCTCAAACAACTCAAAAGTTTCCTTCAAGTTTGATGTAAACTTTAACAGTCCTTCCCAAAATGTAACAAACACGGCAAGCCTTTCTAAAATGCCCCACTGTGTATTTCAACGTGCAATGCTTTAACAAGCCAGACAGCGTGTGTTCTTCCTTAGGCAAGGACAATGAACATTAAATGGTACCTGCATCTAATTTGTGATGCGTGGCTGGGAGAAAAGATGGGAACGTCATCACTGAGAAAAATCAAAACATGAAAATTACATGGAAGGCCCTCTCAGCGATAAGTAATTGGATGGCAGTTCTTCTCCTTAATGATAATTAAACAATACAGGTGAAGAGGATTCCAAAAATTTTTTAAATTAACAACATCAAAAAACCCCTCCATTGACACCCAACAGGATGCTCTGCTTGAATTAGTTCATTTATCTTTTGCAAAGTAAAACTACCTACGATGAATCAGAAGGACAGTTCCTTCTGTAGTTATACCTCAAAAGAAAGCAGGCGTCAAAAAACTATGGAGCCTGAGTTGGTTCTTAAAATAATAATAAAAAATTAAAATAAAAGAAAACGTAGGAGCTAAATGCACCTGGCTTTTAAAAATCACAGGGGTAAAGATCTATCAGCAACCTAAACCCATATTACAAAAGTAAGGCCATTATAGAGAGAAAGTAAAAGAAAAAAAAAAACTACTGAAAAAAAGCGGTCAGAATCTAGTATAACAATTAGCATATTCCCCCTACCCCAACCCCAATCTGAATGGAGAAAAAACTGTACTCCACATCAGACATCTGCAGGTCTCAATCAGGGACTGGCTTTAAAACCCCAAACAATTTCCACAGAAGCTTTTGAGCCTGACAGGCTGATTTGAGGGGGGAAAGTTGTTGGAGAGAAAATATGGAGAAGGAAGGAATGAAAAAATATTCCCACTGTTAGTTTTCATTAGATTTCTAAATGTCACAAATCTTTGGGAAGAATTTAACCCAGAGCGTGGCAAGAATACAGCTACAAGTTAGTTATTTATCCGCTTTGGCTTTCATATTAAAATTTTCCCCTTTTAAAATGTAAATCTCAACCTTGTTTTCAGTTCTGCCACGGGGGCAGAGGGGAGAGTAATGCTTTGGGAAAAAGCAGAGTGGGGGAAAGTCACACCAGAGCCGATTCTGTTCCCAGACTTAACATCCCCTAGGACCTAGGCGGTAAGACATAAAGATTTACCGCTTTTATTAAGGTAGTTTAAAGACCTCATAAAAGTCTGCAGCATGTTTTCCACCTTTAAACATCACCTGAGAAATGAGAGATTACTTTGCAAAAACTAAAACAGACAAAAAAATCTCTGCTCTAGGAAACTACCCTTTCATGGAGATTAACATTACCACAGCTACAGGTATATTCAGCAGTGACTAGGAGCTGTTGACAGGAGAAATACAACAGGTGTGGATTTTCCATGCTGTTGACCAAACATAAGACAGATATGTCTTTTCATAAACACTCCCCCAAAGTTGTTGGGTTTTTTTTAAGTTGATCACCACACAATTGCAATAAGCACCATGCTTGTGGGGTAAAAGGTGAGGAATATGTCAAGAGGAAAAGGCCAGGAGCTGGAGGAAGGTAGGGAGAAGTAAAGAAAGCAGAGCGCTTAAAAAATATATGTATCTAAAATTACAAAACTCAAAGCCAATTCAGAATTCTGGTATCGGGTGTTGGTAACAGCGTGTTATACCACAGTGAAAGTTCTTCCATGGGTCAAGCGTACACTCTGAAACCTCAAATGGAGAGGACAAGTCAAGAGAAAAATGGCAAATCCCAACCTTTTGTACATCCCTGTCAGCTATTTTTAAAAAAACGAACAAAAAAGAAAACTACCAAAAATGAAAACATTAGTTAGTTAGGTACAGCTCTACTTACTGTAGCTACAAATCCTCTAGGAAAAAACTAGGGTACTATTTTGGATGTGAATGGCCGTTACCTAAACAAAGCTTTTAAGGTAACGGTAAACAAGATCCTCGTTTCCATGTCAATAAACCAACCGCGTCTGCCTCCTGCACTGAACGTTGAAACAAAGTCAAAAGCTAGGTTATACTAAATAATAGTGACCAAAACACATCTACAAACAATTATTGAGGCAAAACTGCAGGCTCTGCATCTGATACGGAGGGAGACGACCCACCAGCCACCATAGAAATCAAATGCTATTTCTCCCCCGCTGGGTGGGCAGAGGGGTGGATAAATTATTTCCAAATTTACCCTGAAATCTCTCTCCTCTTTAATTTTATTAGCTTTGTGAAATGTCTAGCCGAGAAGTCAAGGAGATAAAAAATCCTTCATAGGTCTGTTTTCACCCTGCAAACCACTATCCCTGAAACTAAATGATCTCAAAGTGCAAAAAGCCTGGGCCACAAGCTAGGACAAGTCTAGCTCAGTTAATAAAGCAACTTGGGAGTGTGGGGGGTCTTTTCTTGAGGGAGGAGGCGGTAGGAGGTAACGCCTCCAGCCTCCGATCAGAGAAACAGGGTGAATTTGCCAAATCAATTCAGGGACACCAAAGGTGGCCAGGCTTTTCTTTCCTTCTCCTCCATTCAGTGTTAAAAGTCAAGAGGGACATGAAACGATCACTTGTTCTACTCTTTTATGTTACAGAAGAGGAAACTGAGGCCTACAGACAGGGAACAGCGTGCCCAAGCTCTGCTCGGACAGCTGGGCCTAGGACCTGATTCCCTGCCCCGACTCAGTGGCCCGCTACGGAGGGGTGAGTCCCCAGCAGGCCAGCACCGCACCCCAGTGTCACCTCGGGGACCCTGCCTTGGGCAGCAGTACTTCCTTCCCTTCCTCTTCTGACCTTAGAGACCCATACCCCCTCAAGACTGCACCTGAAAACGTTCTCATATAAAACCACTTACAACTCAAAGGATCTGAGAAAGCCAAGGGGAAAAAACAAAACCTAACACTGATACCCAAGGCCTTATCCCTTATCAGACTTAGATTGCACACCATCTGGAGTCACCCACTGGATGCCCAGCTTAGCTCTGGGAGGTCTCCTTCCCTGCTCAAACCGCACTCCGAATCCCAAGTGCCCGGGGGGAACCTGTTGCCAGGACAGTGATTAGCGCCCCCGCGCCCCCGGCGGCCCTCAGACCGGCCCTGTGCTTTCCATAAGCCGATTCGCACGGCCACACTGGGGAAACGCGGGCAGGGCTCGGCTGACAAAGGAAAGTTGCCTCGGCCCGGTGCTGGAGTTTCTTTTCAGGGTCCTGTTGGCCCGGAAGGTAGCCTCTCGCCAAGCCGACCCCTCCCCCAAGCCGAGGCCTGGCAGCATCGGGGGGGGCCGCGGTGGGGCAGACCCTGAAAAGAAAGCCCCAAACCCGGCGGCGGCGGCAAACTTGAGAACCCACACGAGCTCTGCGGCAGCGCGCCCCGCTCTGAGCAGAGGCAAGAGAGGGCGCTGTCTCTTTAAACGGGACTGTCAGGGCCCGGGCAGTCCTGGAAAGGGGGCGCGCGACCACACGGAGACGCAGGACCTACCGTCTTGGAGTCTAACTCGTGGTGGGGCTGGCCTAACACTTTATCTACACTCGCCGGGTCTGCGAACGTGACGAAACCGAAGCCTCTGAAATGAGACAAAGAGGGGGAGACACAAACAAGAGAATGTGGCACCACCGGGAGCGGCCAGGAGGGAGCCCTCGGTGCAAAACGCAGAGCCAAGGGCCCCCCACATCCCCCGCTCCCCCGTCCTCCCCACCCCCCAAGCCTTCGGCCCCCCCGGGCCCCGCACGGAAACACATCAAGGCTGACGGGGGCGGTGGGGCGGGGGCGGGGCGCGCGGAGGTAACTCGGGGGACGCCGGTGTCCCCACTCCTCGGCCACTTCAGTTTTTCTCTCCTCCCCCCGCTCCTTCCCTTTCTTTAACGCTTTGTTTATTCCAAACAAGCCCCGACACTCAGAGGAGACACAACCAGCTTTCTAAGAGGGGGGCTTAAGAGTTCGGGGCGCCGCGAGTGCACACGTTAAAAAAAAAAAAAAAAACTATGTGGAAAGTGAATGAAGCTGAATGTCATTTGAAACGGGAGAAAAAGGAGTGAAGGGGAAAATGACTTAAAGCGCAGATGTGGGCATCCCGGTATCCAGAGTTCAGCACCAATTAACAATAACCTTTGGGGTTAATGGGAAGGGGTGGGGGGGAGGATGGAGCGACGTTCGAAACCAGCCACATGCCTGAGCCCCGTTCTAAATCCGCTTAGCTACTTCCGAAGACACCTCCAAAAATAACACTTAAACTTTGTTCTGAAATAAAGACAAAATCCAGAAGGGGATGGTTTACCTGGAGCGTTTCGTAGTGGGATCTCTCATGACCATACATTCTCTAATTTCTCCAAATTTGCTAAAATAGTCTCTAAGGCTATCTGTAGAGAGAGAAAGAGAGAGATGGGGGGGGGGGAGGGAAGGTGTGGGGAAAAAAAAAGCAATGCAAATTCTGATCAAGGACAAAAACCAAAAGTAGTTTTCTGTTGTTATTCTGGGGGTTTTTTTGCACAGGCGGGGGAAATTCGGCAACAGAGGTCGCGTAGAGGGCTCGGAAAGGATTTGCTATTTAAAAAAATAACCTTGCACAGGAGAAGTGGGGAGCCAATGGCGGGGGGGGGGTTCCTACACCGGGATAACAAAGAGCAATAAAGAAGCCAAGAAGGGGGGGACCCGGGCGTGCCCCCCTCCCTCCCTTACCTGGTGAGGTCTGCCAGCTGAGTCCGCCGATAAACATTTTACTGGAGGGAGAAAACATAACAGAAGTGAGCACCGATGTCAGATCGGCCATTTTGACGTGTAACTTACAAAAGCTAAAGGGAGAGCGGGGGGGAGCGCGCGAGCGGGAGCCGGGAGGTGGGCTGGGGGAGCGGGCGCCGGCCGAACGCCACCCCGAGGTGCGCGGCTCCCCGGGGGGGGCGCCGGCGGGCCGGCGTGGGGGGGGGGCGCCGGAGAGGCCGGGCGCCGCGCTCCGCCGGCCCCGCCGCGGCCAGGGGAGCGAGCCGGGGAGGCGCGGGGCGCAGCGGCTGGAAACTTACCCGGGGTCGTGCTGCGAGTCGTTGGCGCCGCCCGAGCCGCCCGGGCCCCCGTTGGCCTCCATGGCTGCGCCCCCCCGCCCCCCCACCCCCGGACACCGAGCCGCGCGGCGATCGGAGCGCAGCGGCGGCCGGCCCCGAGCCCGAGACCTCCCGCTCCCTCCGCCCTCCGCCTCCTCCCCCCGCCCGGCTCTCCGAGTCCCCGCGAGCGGCGGAGCCGGGGCCGCGCCGAGAGCCGTCACACGTGGGCTCGGCTCCGCTCGGGCCCGCGGCTCGCACACCCCCCGCCCCGCCCCCGCGCCCCCCCCGCCCCCCGCGCACGTGGGGCGGGGTTCTAGAACGTCGTGTAACCAATGCCGCTGACGTCACGGCCCCCGCGGCCCCCGCCCTCCCGCCCGCGCGCGCTCCCCCGGCCCCAGCGCCCGGACCCGGGGGGCGGCCCGCGCGCCCCGCGCCCGCGGGGGCCCCGCCTCCGGACGGGCCGGCCGCGGGGGGGGGGGGCGCACCCCGACTTCCCCGGGGTCACATGGGCTGCGGGGGGCGGGCGCGCCGGGAAAGGGGGAGGCGCGGGGAGCTCGCTGCCTGCCTGCCTGCTCGCTCGAGCCGGGGACGAGACGCCCCCCACCCCTCCAGCTCGGCCTCTCCATCCAAGTTCCCGGTCCCCGGCCGCCCGGATCCGGGGATGGCAATCGCCGCCCTCCCGCCTCTGCGCCCTTTTTTCCAGCCGCCGCGCAGAAATTTAGGTCAAGGACGTCGGGATCAAACCCAAACCCTGGCGCTCCTCGGGCGCTCCCGGAGACCCCCAGGACGGGGGGCGGGGGGCTTTCAGGATGGTGCGGACACCCTCCGCACAAACCCCAGCCACAAGTTTTATTTTCCTTTCGCGCTGGAAGTTCTGTCTGGCTCTGGATCCACACCGGCACGTCTTGCGCGGCTCCCCGCCCTTCCCCGGCAGAGGTACGAATCCGTGCCCGGGGAAGGTTATTTTGGAACTTTGAGGAAACGGACGCGATTCCAGTGGTGAGAAAAGGCCGAAGGAAGGGTTTCCGCGTTAATCAGACGGCGCTTAAAAATATATAATAAAATAGGTTTATAGGGGTCAAGGTCAAATGAATGGAGTTTAAGTCGAAATTTTTTGTATAGTAAGAAATAGTTTTGAGAGCATCTCTGGGAGGGCCGGAAAGGGTGGTTATTTCAGAAAACCCCTCTCCATCCCATTTGTGTTATATATATATATATGTATATATATATATATATATATATACATATATATATATGTATGTATATATAATTGTTGTATTCTGTTTCTATGCCGAGATAGTAAAATGCAGGAGACCTAAATAGCCCAAGCCCCCCACCATCTGGGGATGTGGCTGACGGTGGCAGAAGTCTCCAAACACACCCGCGCCGCTTTGGGAGCAGTGTGGTGTGGCACAGGTCCTGGCGCACAGTAGATGCTTAATAAATGCTGGTGTTGATCTTTGCCGGCACTGAAAACTCCTAACAACCGATTTTGTAGCTTCCCAGAAACATGGAACGGTTCTCCAGCTGATTTCAGGCTGGCCAAATTCAGGCTGGATTCAATTTATAGAGTATTTAAAACAATAAGGATGTAATTATCCTTATTGTTTTAAATTATTACAATAAATTGAGTTAATATGGCATGAGGGGCAACATAAAGTTGTGGTTCATCAAGTACCAAATTAATGTTAAGCATGAATTGATTCCCAATTAACACTTTCCCGTTCATTTTCCTGGGATTAGGACACAGTGAGGTACACTCAACACCAAAACTGTACCAGGTTCACTGTGGGTCTTGGAAAAGTGGTCTATTTGAAAAATCCCAACATCAACCAAAGCCTTAATCTCCCTGTCTCCTCAATTTCGGTAATTCTATCCTTTACAGATTTGATAGGGTGAGGGAAGTGATTGAAATGAACACATGTAAAAGTCCCTTTTTCATTGCACGCCTGTATGGGTTGTGCTTATTATCAATGATTCAGTTCAGTTCAGTTTAGTCGCTCGGTCGTTTCGGACTCTTTGCCACCCCATGGACCCCAGCACGGCCAGGCCTCCCTGTCCATCACCAACTCCCAGAGTTTACTCAAACTCATGTCCATTGAGTCGGTGATGCCATCCAACCGTCTCATCCTGTCGTCCCCTTCTCCCGCCTTCAATCTTTCCCAGCATCAGGGTCTTTTCAAATGAGTCAGTTTTTTGCATCAGTTGGCCAAAATCATATCAATCATTACTTCATACAAGTTTTAGAAAGCACTTTAAAACTTTAAACCAGAAGCCCAAGCATTTTCCAGTTCATTCCAAGCTGCTTCCCAAATCATCTGGGGTCCCATGTGTTGAAAACCCAGTTGTTATTATGATAATTGCTTATTATGATTATTCTCAATAACAAAATGCAGACAACAGAGCTCATGGGATTTTGTGGCAGCTTTTTACCTTAGAACCACAGATCATCGGTGCTGGAAAGGCCTGTCCTGATCCAACCCCCTCATTTTACATCAGGGGCCCAGAAGAACAAAGCTTGCCAGGTTACACCCTACCCCCACCTGTCAATTCCTTCAAGGGGGTCTGGCCATCAGTCTCATGCCCTTTGGCTCTGCTGCATGTATATTTATTCTGTCCTTTACAAGGCGAGAGTGGAGTGCCCTTGTTCCCTGTTGTAGACCTACACAAGCTGAACTGAATTAAACAGAGAGGAGCTAGCCATGCAGTTATAAAGAGAAAATTAGATCTTAAATCACTAATACTACATTGTTTTATTTACTTTCACATGCAGTAACATTTATTCTTCTTGGTCTAAAAGTCTGAGTTTAGGCAAATGAATGGCGTTGCATATCCCACACCATAGACGGGTTCCAGGAAAAGTCTCAATGTCCAAAAACTTCACTCTTGCTTCTCTTAGTTTATTATCATCATGCATTTCTCCTCCACCTTATTCCAGCTTATATAGCCCCGGGGTCAAGAGAATCCTAGGAGCACACTGGTCTTCCACCCTCTTAAAGCCTCAGACAGCCCAGGACGATGTTGGACACTACCTTCTTGTAACTCACTCTTCCCTCGGCATCGTGGATGCCCGCATTCTCCTGACTTGCTTCCTACCTCTCCAGCCTTTCTTCCTCTCTGCCCTGACTTCTCCTCCTCTGCCCTTCCTTTAAATAGTGGTGTTCATTCTCTCCCTCAACTAGCACCCTTATTAATTTGAGATTCTCCGAAGGATGGGTTATATACCACCTACCTTCTGATGCCAGTCAAATTAAAATCTCCAGCCTGATCTCCCCACACAACTCCAGACTGGTTAATTTCCCATTTATCATTTACATTTAGCCTTCCTAAAGATACCCCAAACTCAACTCGTCCAAAAACACAGGCATGCTCATTTCCCCAAACGTGAACCTCTTTAAAAAAAGCTCACTTGATGAACAGAGAGAGAGCCCCAGGCATCTTAGAGACAAGGTTGGCTCCTTTCCAGGTTGACACCTTCCCATGTGCAATCCATCACGAATCTCTGTTGGATTTACTTCCACAATGTCTCTCAAATTCATCTTTCCTGCTTCTGCATCTCAGATTCCCCACCAGAGCCCTGAAGCTGCCTCCTAAACACCCTTCCCACGTCGGTTCTTACTCCACTAATAAGTCTGGAAAGCATTCCTTGACCTCTGACCTGGCTAAATCCCCCTCAGTATGCACTGTTATCCTGCCAAAATGTCCTCTGTGTGCCATACTGTGTGTGATCATTTGCTTCATTGCTCATCTCCTCCACTAAGTCATAAGCTCGCAAATATTTCTGCTCTCCAAGTATTAATATCATTAGCACAGAGCCCACTGATGCATGGTTGACGCTCAGCAAACATTTGTTGAACGAGTGAAAGAATGAATGAAGGAAGGACAACTTCTAATTTCGTTGTAGGAACTTTTGTATCTGTCATAAGTCAATTAGGCTGCAGTTTTCCCTTCTCATATAGCCTTTCTCTGGTTATACCGGCCTCATAAAATGAACTGGTAAGTGTTCCTTCTTTTTCCATTTTCGTGAACAGTGTGTATAAAATTGGAATTATGTGTTCCTTGACTGTTTGGTAGAACTTGCTGGTAAAATGTCTGGCTCTCAGAGAAACATTTCCTAGGTTGATTTTTAACTACTGATTCCATTTCTTTGATGGCTGTGGATCTCTTTATAGATTTTATATTCTTCCTGACTCAATTGTTACTCATTATATTTTTCAGGGAAATCATACCATCTAGGTTTTCAGATTTATTAACAAAGTGATGTTCATAGTTTTCACTTAATATATTCTCATCTCTGCTGCATCCATTCATACTCTCCATTTTTTTTGCGTTCCATATATTATTGTATGTGTCTCTTTTCTGTAGCCAATGTGTCTGAGATCTCCCTATTTTTATCTAGTGATTCTTTCTACTTTCTACTAGTGTTTGCAGAGAATCAACTTTTAATTTGGCTAATACTATTTTTTGTTTCATTAATTTTTACTCTTCTATAATATTATATATATATTATGTTCTTACATATAAGAATATATACCATATATAAAAATAAAATTGTGTATTGTTAATGTATCATATTTTCTTTGTTCTATTCTCTGGATTTATTTTGTTGCCTTTAAAAAAATTCTTGGTGGCTTAAGTAATTAATTTTCAGCCTTTGGGTTTTTTATTTTTAACATTTAAGGCTATGGATTTCACTCCAGGTACCACTCAAACTACATTCCACAAGATTTATAGAATTTTTATTACCATCCCAGGCAAAGAATGTTTACATTTCAAGTACGATTTCTTCTTTGCCTCAATACACATACATTTTTACATTTCTAAACACAAGTTTTTGTTTTGATTTTTAATTATTTAAAAATCTGGTTTGACTTCAGAGAGGTGGTCTGTAAAGGAGATTCTTTATTTGTCAAGATTTTCTTTGGTAAATAGTTTTTATAAATACTCCATGTGGTCTTAGAAAGAATGTGTATACTTTGTTATTAGCATTCTATATGCATCTATTAAACCAAGCTTGTTACTTATATTATCCAGATTTTCTGTAGCCTTAATAAGATCTATCACTTTTTATAGTATTACATTAAAATCTCCTTATATGACTACATTTACCAATGCCTACTATAAATCCTTCAAATTTTTCTCTGTGTTTTGAAAGTATTTGATAAGGTACATCAAAAAGGACTGTGAAAATCTCCTAATATGACTACATTTTTCTGTTTTTTATATTTTATTTCTCATTTTGCTTTGTGTTTTCATAGAGATTGTTTAATATATGCATAGATGATCTTTAACTCTAGTGCTTTTTGCTTTAAAGTCTACTCTGCCTGCAATAAATAGAATTACTCTAACTTCTGTTAGCATTTGTCTGGCATAACTTTGTCCATCTTTTTGCTTTCAACCTTTCCTTAGGTAAGTTTCCTATAAACAGCGTACAGTTGGACCTTGTTCCTTTATTTATTGGGTTGACTCGTAAGTATAGTTCATTTACATTTAATGTAATTACTGATATTTTTAATGAACCGTGGAGGCACAAAACTATTAGTTACAATCTCTGGCATGAATATAGTTTCATCAAAAGGTATATCAATGGCCTTATTTTATTTTATTTTTTGATATTATGAACACTTCAGTTTAGTTCAGTTCAGTCACTCCGTTGTGTCCAACTCTTTGCAACCCCATGAATTGCAGCACGCCAGGCCTCCCTGTCCATCACCAGCTCCCGGAGTTTACTCAAACTCATGTCCATCGAGTTGGTGATGCCATCCAACCACCTCATCTGCTGTCGTCCCTTTCTTATCCTGCCTTCAATCTTTCCCAGCATCAGGATCTTTTCGAATGAGTCAGCTCTTCTCATCAGGTGGCCAAAGTATTGGAGTTTCAGCGTCAGCAGTAGTCCTTCCAGTGAATATTCAGGACTGATTTCCTTTAGGATGGACTGGTTGGATCTCCTTGCAGTCCAAGGGACTCTCAAGAATGTTCTCCAACACCACAGTTCAAAA